ACTTTTAAAAAACAAATTTTGCAAACAAAGAAAAAGCAATAATTGAAAAAAACAAAATTCCTCCCTCATAATTTAAAAGATACATAACAACGGCAACAAAGTGATACAGTTTCCCACCAAGAAATTTGTTGGTTTATCCAATTTTGTAACTTACTTTTGAAAAAAAACGAACAAAATTACTTTTCCCTCTGTGTAATCTTCTATTTGCCAACCTCAGCACTTCATCCGTTTTTTCTTACTATCCTAATATAGCACAACAATGGGTTAAACTAATCGGCCACCATTTTTACCTCTGAGTCCTAACAATTTACAATTTCAATTTGCTCTATGACAGGCTCAACTGTTGGCTTTTTCGGAGAAATTATTCCTAAGTCAAATATTTCAAAAAAAAAGAGCGAAAAAACCTAAACCTATACCACTGGTTGTCCGACATTTGAAAAAGCATAAATTAGTATTATTCGAATTGTCAATTTGTTACTGCCGTAGTTAAATTGCTCTTTCAATGACTATAAAATCAGCCTATTATTAGACCAAATCAGTGTTTACTTTGACTTTTATTCGTCTACAACAACGAATATAATAGCAACAGTAACAGCGGCCAAAGAAAAAGCCATACTTCCTGTTCATCAATGTTCCTTTGTTCAGACAGCAACAGCAATAATCCTTTTTTCTGAACAAAAAAAACAGCAGAACCTCAAAAAGATATTTAAAATGGCAACAGATATAGCAGACAACAAGAATTCGATAACTACACTCAATCAGTTAAGATAATCAACAAAAAATAAAAGCACTAAAATGATGATGATACATTTCGTCTTCAGCTGATTGCAGTATCAAACTGGTGCCAAAACAAGCAAACCGAGAAAAATCCAATCGCCTAAATCACAAAAGATAGACAACCAAACTTATAAAGTCGATGTATATGTACATTATCGCCATCTCATCACCTTCAACAGCAGCAACAGCAATAACACCAGCAACAGTATCATCTTCATCTTCGTTCAAACGGCCAAACAGATTTGCACAGAAAAAAAAAACGATTTGAAGAAAAAAGCCAACAAGCAACAAGACGAAGCAAAACTATAATTGAAGAAGACTAGCGAAGGAGGTAGGAAGCATATCTGCTCAACATATTTTATTGTATCCAAATCAACAATATCATAAATATTTATGAACAACAATCATATATCATCACGTTACTGATTGACTGTTTGATTGTTGTCGGCTTTATTTATTCAATCAAAAAAAAAAAGTTTCTTTTACCACTAAAAACTACGATAAAAAATGTTTATTTTTGTTTACTTTCTCAAATGAACATTTAGTAATATCTATGTTTTTTTTTTTTTGTTTTTTTTCCCTTTGGTTGCTCCTTTTAAGTGAACACCAATAGCAATAATCACTTTTTCAAAATTCTTTTCCCTGTCCCCTCATCAAATACGCATTCTTTACTACTGCTTTTTTCCATGCTTTTTCATCTTACCACTTTTTCTTCTTCTTTCTTTTTTTTATCAGATTTTTTACACAGTTATAAGGCGCAAAATATTTGGTAACAAAGACAACAGCAATCACAAAAAAACTCTCAAAACAAGGATTAGCAATAGCAAAAATCAACTGACAACATGCGTTGATGACGGGGGAACTGCAACAGTTCACCAAACAAACGCCTTTTATTCACTGAAATCAAATGCAAAAAAACTCTTTCCTCTTCTCGCAAAACCTATGAAAAAGTTGATACCCCAAATCGAAGCCTTCTTTTAAAAAAAAAGTCCTTTCTTGCTCTCTTTCTTTTACTACTTTTACTCCCTCTTCTTATACACTCTTTTGGAGTTAATGCCTACAATATATCTGAATAATCACCACTCCACCACCTCCAACAGTAGTAGCTCATTTTCTATACGGCCCATCTGCCGTTAGCTCTTTTATTTCTCATCTTTTCTAAATTTTATTAGTTATCCAGTGTTGAAACAACCTTTCTACCCATCCTCAGTCTTCTTTTCCATCTTTGCTTTCTTCCTAAAATGTCAATACACTCAATTATACCCCGTTCCCCACAAATGGTGCAGTTCCTCCCGTTGTCGCTCACAGTCGCATAAAGCTCCTCACAGAAACCAGAATTGTATTGAACTTTTCATTTATACGTTCCGATGCATCTAAATGAACACTGAGAACCTAATAACACCATCTAAAAAAACAAAAAAAAATTGTTTTCAAACTAACAACAAAAAATTGCCACTTCTTCAACAATAATGCTGATATTACAGTGTTTATTGCTCGTGCGCATACACACACCAAATTGTTGGCATATATCAAATGACAACCACTTCATGTAAATAGTACACACATTTTTCTTTTTTATTAAACTTTAAGCCACTTTTCAACAAGCTTACTACAAACCGGAATTCGAATCAAAAAAGAACTAACAGTCATTTTCTGTTTTTGCTCTCGTAAGCGAATGCAAAAAAAAAATAAAATAAAATAAAATAAAAAGAATAAAAAAAAATAACCCGTGAGACTGAGGCTTTCTTGCTGTGAAACTTTCAATCAATAACAAGCTTTAGATACGGCCTCCAATTCGGCTTAAAAAACCAATGCCGATTAATTCATAAAACTAAACCGAATTTTTTCTTTTAACAGCTCTTTTGTGAAACGTTTCACAGCAAATAACTGAAAGATACTAAACAAATCAACATGTACAGTTGTAACAAGTCATTATATAAAAATTAATAAAACCAAAAGCAAAATCTTAAGGCTGTAAGGATAAAATATGAGACTTAGGAAAGTAGTAATAATAATAATAACAATAATAAAGAATTAGATAACCCGAAGAAAACTGGTTGATCAGTATTGCATAAAATTGAAAAACGATACTGAAAAGCATTAAAAAAGAATGTTGAAAAAAATCATACAGAAAGCACTATCCACGAGCGATAAATCTCTCTACTCCAAAAAAAGATAATAATAATAACAAAACCAAAAGATTAGCAGATTCAAGAGACTCTGGATCGTGGGGCAAACAAAAGCTGCTGATAAATTGCAAGTAAATCCAGGTCTGATACTTTAAAAAAAACTAACCATTCAATTCTAAAACTACATTAAAAAAAATGACCAAACCAATATCAAATTAAAAGTGCATACAGTTTTGTACAACTTAAAGTGACAATATGATAAACCAAGTGACCATATAAGAAACTATAAGCTACATACAAGCGGTTTGAAAGACAAGCATCAATAAATTTTAAAGTACTCAAAAACGTCAAATTTTAAATCCTCCTGGAATTTTATATACAATACTGAGTTATTTTTGCTTGAATTGCATGTACGAACACTGTCACGTTCAACAATGATTGTATGGTAACTAAAGCTAAACAAAAAACGAACCTTTAACAGTAAATGCTTCAAGCAACTTAATCTGAATCAACAACAGGCTCGATAGATGTATTACCACCTGATCCGGACCCGGTAGTTGATAAAGAGTGCGAAGAATTAACTTCTTCAGGAATTGGATACAGCGGAGAGCTAATCAATGAATGACTAAGCGAATTTCGTCGATTTGGCCGTGCAATTAATAACGGCGCAGACTGACTTCTGAAGTAAATTTTGAAGAGTTTGCGCAAAGTAACATATAAAACAAGTACTCAAAAATATTTTTAACTGCACTATTCAAAATAAATGATTAATGACCAGCAGTAAACAACCTTACAATTATCATCAATTTTAACTTAAATAACTCCATTAAAAGGTACATCAACAGGAAATACCACTTAATACGTCTTTGCTCAAAATTTGGAAATTACCGGAATACTACATTTTTGATAAAAAAAATTTTTCTGGTATACTTGTGATACCTTGGAGGTCTTCTCGCTCTTTGAGCCAGATTCACCTGAGTTGCTGGGTTCACAAATGACCATTGAGAAGATCCTAATGGCCTATACCTTCGCCTCCAATTTCGGACGACAACAACATTACTTAGTGATCTGGGCCTCGAATCACTCAAAAACTGAATAAAATCCTATTTGAGACAAGAAGAACACAAAGAGACTCTTGCTATAAAATTGAGCAAAGAATGCCAAAAAAATAAAAAAGACTAACAGTGAAATCTGAATCTTCATCGTTATAACTGTTGTTACTTTTTCCAGAAGGTCTGAATACGACCAATATAACCCAAATTGGCAATAAAAAGGTAATAATTTCATATGGAATTTTAATAAGTGAGTAACGGACTTGATTATGGTTCTGCAAAAGTTAGCTTTAGAACAGTTTCTAAAAAGAATACAGTGAAAAAAATATAATGATAAAAGATTACAAAAACAAAGCTGCATCCTTGTTCGCCAGCCAACAAAAATAAACTCGTGTGGTAACCCAAATCCACCAAGGTAGACGTTTCGAAAGCCCAAAGTAAGCTAAACAATATTACTATTGATGGAAAAAATTGTTGAGGGAAACTGTATGCACCTCATCAGGTAACTAACAAATGATTTTTACTTTCTCGAAAACAAGAAATACCTAAAGAATTGTTGTTTATGGCGTCGAAAGACTCCTTCGCCGGAGGATAAACTATTTAGACGACGAATTATTAAGGCAAATGAAAACAGTATCATTTGTACTGTGAGAACATTACCAGCAGACAACCATATCCAATATGGAGCTAAAATTCAAAAACGAAAAGTTATCGTGCAAATTCGAAGTGCACTTTAATACTGGAAAACCCGAACAAGAATGAAAATTTAGTCAAACAGTCAAGCAGTTCACATTATTACCGCGACACTCTCTCCACGGCTCCACGGCGAACACAAGTCCAATTGCCAATAAAAAAGTGAAGTAAATGAACATAAGAGTCAAAGTTAACAACGGGAGCCTAAATAAAGTTCCATTTGAACAAAGACAATTAAAATGTTCGCGAAGTTATAAATTAACCGAATAACACCTTAAAAACACCTACCTTGTGGCCGCATGATTATTCCATCGCATCAAGACACATACAATAGTTAAATAAAAATGGCAAATAATAAGAAGCTCAAGAGCACGCGCATAAATGTTGAACAACGCTGGCTGGGTCTTCCAACCCAATAACCATTCAAGGGAGCTGTAAAGAAGTTTGAATAATCTAGTAATACAGAACAAGTATTGTTTATCAGACTAAAGCAAAGACATTCAAATCACAACCGTTAATAAACTTTAAAGACCCATTCATCAGTAAATCCCCTTACAGCACCAAAAATAAATTTTAATGAAAAAGTTACAGAAGTAGTCAATTCCAATAGTACAAAAGTCAGTTTAAGAAAAACTAAGAATTTTCTGAAATTAGAAGAATGTGAATTTGATAAAGGCTGCTCACCCAATGAATGCTTGTAGAAAGAGTACATAAAAGAGTACAATTTTGTGATAATCAGGTCGCGCTGGTCGATGTAAATTGAAGATCCGCACACCACAGCATATCTGGCAAAACATATGTACAACAGTTAACGACGAAAACCATTACATTAAATAATCAGACAATGAAAATTTAAATTAAAAACAATTTCAAAACGCAAAAAAATATTCTCAGCTACACTTTATGCACCGGACAGTAAAAGCCAACAGCCGAAAGTGAACACAAGAAATCCTTACGAAAATTTTAAGAGTATTATTGCCTAAACGTTGCCAAATAAAAATTTTGACTTATTGGAGGCCTCAATGTGAAGAAGTGTTACCGTTTCACTGGCAACCACTTGAAAAGTTTTTTCAACAAAAAACTAACGAAGTACTATTATTTTTCACCTAAAGTAACATAAACTCAAACGATGGAATAATGAGCTGAGAAGCACATTCAAGATGAACAGGCTTTATCACAAGCCCTCCAATTCGATCCTCATGTAATAAAATGAAGTAATGGCAACTAAAAATCGACAGT